CACCTTTAGGGATGCTGGCTTGGGACAGGTTACCCAAGGGCCCTAGCCATACATCTGAAAGCTGGACAGTGAGTAAGGAAGACAGAAGGATTGATGCCTTTGAGCTGCGGTTTTGGAAAAGTGTGCAGAGTATCACATGGACTGCCAAAAGCATAGATGTGGAGAAAGTACAACTGGAGTGCTTGCTCGGAGGCAAGGATCGTGAAGTTTCACGGACTTTCAAGGGGTAGAGGATTAGAAAAAGAGAAAGACAAGACGGATTGGCACAGGATAGGGCAGTGTGCAGGTCTGTTCATACTGTGCTCAGTTCTGGTCGAATCATCAGCATCTAACAAAAACATAGTCCAAAACCTAAAGACGTTAAGGGTTGCATAAACAGTTCAGAGCAATGGAAATTCAGACGGCTTCTAAAGACCTGACAGGCTCAACGTCACTGAAAAGACATGTTGTTGTAGCCTTCTTCCCATCACCTTGACAAGGATTAGTATTTTGAAAGAAGACAACCACCTAAGGTGTGAGTAGGCTGGCACTGCCATGATTCTTACGGGCATCTAAATTTTAACAGCCTCTTTTCAAGGTTAACACCACACACACTTGAAAAACCTGCTTCCTGTAAAAGCTATCTCTAGCCTAGGAAATGACAGGATATTTACTCTTAGAGGGTCAGCTATTGTTCTTGGTTTTTTTTCTCTATAATTGTTCTTGTTAGGTGCTGTCAAGTTCAGCACGACTAAGCAACCCTATGAACAAAAGATGTGAACCCAGTCCTGTCCGGCACCCTCATACTTCAGGACACACACAAGAGCCGGGTCAGTCCACCTAGTTGAGGATCTTCCTCTCCTTTCCTGATCCTGCAACCCTTCCCAACATCATCCCTCTCCAAGGAATAGCACTTCCTAGAAACATGTCCAGAGTATGTGAGGCAAAGCCACTTCAATCTTGCCTCCAAAGAGCACTGTGATTGCACTTGTCCGTTCTCTTGGTTGTCCATGGGATGTTCAGTGCTCTTCTCCAGAACCACAGAGCTCAAAGGCATCAATTCTTTTCTGTCATCCATTGTCCACGCCTCAGATGCATAGGTAGGAATCAGACTATGGTCTGAATCAGATGCACCTTAGTCCTCAATCTGACATCACTGCTGCTCAGTAATTTGAAAGGTCCCTAACTGCAGATTTTCCCAGTGCAACGTGTCTCCTTATTTCCTGACTGCTTAAGATGAAGCTGTTGCCAGATTCAGTCTCCTCTTCCTCCATCATGACACTGCCCATTGGTCCAGTGGTAAGAATCTTTGTTTTCTTGATACTGAGACACAATCCATACTGAAAGCTGCATTCCTTGATCTTCTGCAACAAATGCTTCTCACTTTAAGCAAGTTAAGGTTGTGTCAACTGCATAATTCAAGTTATTGATGAGTTTCCCTTCGATCCTAATGCCACACTCCTCTTCAAAGAGTCTAATTTCTTGGATAAGTTGCTCAGCATAAAGATTGAACAGGTATGAAGATGTACTGCACCCCTGACACATTCCCTTGCCGGTTCCAAACCATGCAGTGCTCCCCCTGCTCTGTTCACACAACAGCCTGTTTGAGGTATAGGTCTCACATAACCACAATCAAGTGCTCTGAGATTCTCATTTTTCTCAATGTCAGCCACAACGTGTTAAGATCCACCCAAACACCTTTGCATAGTCAGTAAAGCACAAATGGACATTCTTCTGGTATTTCTTAACTTTCAGCCAGGATCCATCTCACATCAGCAGTGATATTCCTGGTGCCATAACCTCTTCTATTCTGAGTTGACTGAATGACAAACACTAGCAGATGGGAACAAAGTATAAACCATATTCTTTAATAATACCTATAAATTAGTTCCTAATTCTGCATGTACCTTCGTAATGACAAAGTGGAAAAACAGGTAAAGTAGTTTTTATATTGACATTCAGAATATAAAAGATGAGTAAGTATTTTAATTGTGCATGTGTGGGTATTCTGATGTACCAGTGATACTAAGATGGGTAATGATGATCTATCTCCACTTAAAATGTACTTATCTTGTATTTAACAAAATAACAAATTTGTGTCCTGACAATGATAGGATTTTAAAAGACTGATTCAAAATAATACATTTTTATAAAAGTGAACCATTTTAAATTTATAACTAAGTTTTCATTTGTCCCAAGAATTCCTCTACAATACTCAAAAGTAGAAAATTGTTTTTAAACTCACTGGTACAGACCCTCCGTTGGGCTTCGGAGGCTGTAAATCACCCAGGGGCAGTCTGCTTGTCTTATCTGCGAAGCAGCTGGTGGATTCAGCATGTGGGGCGGATGCTGGCTTTGGGTTCGTGCACTTCCCTAAAAAGTGCCACCAGAGACCCCTAAAAATGATGAAAGAGCAGGACGAAATGATAATTAACATCAAATTGTAAAGCAAAATCCTTTAGATCTGAAACTGCTATTCATTAGATCTTATGCATTTTCATCAAAGTCACTTGGAGTTCTGTCATTTGCTGTCTCTCCAGTATAAGGAATTGGTTTCCTGTTTCACACTTTACATCAAAATTCAAATTGACATTTTAAAATTCAAATTTAAGGGTGATCAGAGATTGACAACTGCAAAAGATCCCTCAGCCATTGCTAGCTGTTGTGAAATCAGGTCATTTATGAAACACAAGCCAGAACACAAGGAAGAGAAAAAACACAGGACGAGGAATGAATGCTTGCTTGTATAAGGATATCCTACACTCCTGCACTAGAAAGAACTCAAAACTCAGTCTGTCTTGCCGGTTTTAACTGGCCCTAAGCAGTGTGTCTAAGGGCAATAAATGAGCTGCCTGGAGATGTGGGAATTTAGATGCCACTCCTGTTTCTAGGATTTGGGGGAAGAGCCACAAGGTTTCCTTGGGGAATGAGAAGAAAAAAAAATTGGCAGAGAGGGGTTCCTGCCGGAAAGACACAGCCTGGGCCCAAGCGTCCAGAGACATGGCTGGCTTCTGTGGGGAAAGATTGGAGGTGGGGGGCCCCTTTTCTGCTGACACCTTGGTGCCTCGAGTCTGACCAGGTTCACTGGAAATTACCAGTTGTATAAAATACATTAAGACATTCATTTCTTAATTAAAAACATTAAGAAACCCAGTTAGTGTCGCTGTTCTCTGGGCTGCCTTTACCACCTGGACCTCAGCTCCGGGGACGGGCCACAGGCCTGACTTGAAAGCTCATCTTGCTTGCCCATCTGCCCCTCAGTCCTTGAGTGTCAGAGCCTCCACTGGACTCTCCTCGGCCTCCCTGGGCTTCTCCCTTTCCTGGGGCCCCTTAGTCCCCTGCCTGTATGTGGATAGATTATACCATGTCGGTCACCCGGGGAGGACGGGAGAGTGCAGTGTATCCCAGTCAGGCAGGAAAGGCCCATGTCAGTCACCTTGGATGAGAGCCTGAGCTGCCCCGAGCCCAAGCTCTGAGCTAGAGCACAGGGACGATGCCACCTTGGCTTTACAAGGTGACAGGGCTCGCGAGGTGCTGGCGTGAGTGTGGAAAGCTAGGTAGGTGCAAAGAACATGATGCCGTCAACTCTGTTGCCACATCCCACAGGTCCACTCATGTTCAGCTCCTGATGACTTTCTCCTGTCCCCTGGACACTTGTAACCACAATTAACAGTAACTGGCTCTCCACAGATGGAGGGCCAAGCTCAGTGGGCATCTACTCCCGTAGGCTCTAGAAGTTCAGGGCTGATCTTGAGGGTCTGGGCCCAAAGTTAGTGCAGAGAGACAAGGAGAAGGTGCCCCTGTGTAGCTGCTCCCCCAGTCCCCTCCTGTCCTCCACTAAACACCAGCCATGCCAGGAGAGGCCTGGCGGATGGTTGTAGCCACTCAAAGAGCAAACAGCTAAAGCTGGTGGGAGATGGGGAAGCCTCAGCCTGCCTCCCCCTTTGCTCTGCCAGCCTACGTCTCCCCAAGCCCTGGGCTCACTGGAACCAAAGTGTTGATTCTCTGGGAGAATCAGACAACACTCTCCTTCCCCTCAAGGCACAGCCCAGGCCAGGCATGAGGCATCTTATCTTGGGGGCACCCATAGGGGGTTGGCCTGACAAATCCACCATTTCCCTACCCTTCACCTCTCCAGATAGACCCTTTTCCAAACTGATGGCTTTGAATGGACAGAATCCCACCTGAAGTGAGCTGGTACTGGTTTAGGGGCAAACCTTTCTTGCTGAAAAGCACAGCACAGTGGAGCCAGCCCCCACAGACCTGGTCCAGCCCCCTCCTTTTGCAGATGAATAAACCGAGGTTCCAGAGAGGCCAAAGGATGCTCTCAGCTGGTTCAAGCTGCCGAAGTTCCCAGCCCTGTCCTCTAGTCCACATCCAAGAGGGGGTTTCTTCAGGACAGCTGCCCCTTGCCCTCCCCAAGTCTCCGGAGACTCCTTTACAGGGGGGCTGAGCACACACAGGTGAGGGAGCGCACACACGGAGGTCTTGGGGTTTCCGCACAAGGCGGGTTGGGTGGGCAGACTTTGCAGAAAGCCAGTCTTCCACCAGCTTCTGGACTCCTTTAGGCCAGCTTTTGATGACTTGTTACAGAATTCCTAGTTCAATTAATCCCTGAAAGGAAATAAAACTCCCCAAACCAAGCTGGGAAAGTGGGAGGGGAGAAAGGCTGGCTCTAGCTTCCACAGCAGTGGGCACCCGGGCATTCGTGCCCCAGCCTGCCCTCCGACCTGCCCGGAGGAAGGCAGGCCCCAGCCAGGGCGGCCTGCCAGGCCACACAGAGAGCAGACGTCCCAGGAACCGGGAAGAACGTTCTGCCTGCATGTTGCAGGGTCCCGCTCTAGTCACAGCACCTCAGCCGGAAGGTTCTGGGTTCAGCTGACTTTATTAAGTGCAGAATACTGCCCTTGGTGAGGGGCAGCCACGTGTGGAGTTGACATCACTGGTGCGGCCCAGGAAGGGGGTTGCAGAGCGGGCCTGTGCCATCTGCCTTCTCACTTGGTGCCTGATCGCCTTCTCGCTCAGTGACTGGCGGCTTGGAGGATTTCCAGGGCCAAGGAGGCTACTGCACTGTCGGCTGGTGAACTGTGAGATAAACCAGTGGAGAAATGCATTAGGCATCCCCAGGGCGGAATGTCCCTTGCTCAGAGGGGACACCGCGTTTGCGCTGGCTGACAGAGCTGCAGCAGGAATCCAGGCTGTGAGGTGAGGAATCCTCGGCCCAGTCCCCACGTGGTCTGGGCCTGCGCTCCCACCCTGGCCTCCATGCGTCCGGCCCACTCGATGCAAGTGGGTGCATCGTCTCTGGTGGGCGCATGGGGCCCTAGGCAGCTGGAGCCTGACGAGTTCACCCACCCCTGCCTAGGGCTGCCGTGGGGGACACTATGATGACTCCAGACCCTCGCAGGCAGGACCACTCCTCCAAACAGTGGCCCTTCCAGGTTGTAGTTCAGCTGCCAAGCCAGCCAGGCAGGAGTTCGGGGTTTCTAACTCTCAGGTGTGGATGGGAAGCTCAGAGCTGCAAAAGGAATCTTTGCTGCCAGAGCAAACGGGGTGAGATGCATTTAAAGCTGGTAACTGGCTGGTTTTATTGTGTGCCGTTGAGGTCAGTAGAGACTGCTGACCCTCCAGCGCGTGATCAGAGGCAGGAAATCGCAAGGGAGGAGCACGTCCAGTCTCCCATGGAGTCTCTGGTGGATTTGAACCACGTGCCTTAGGGATTGCAGCGCAGCTTCTAACCACTGAGGCCACCAGAAGGCAGGCAGTTAACAGGCATTGCAGCGAACCAAAAAGATTGCAGATTCAGTACTCAGAGATGCCGTGGCAGAAGAGTCTAAAAAAATCTGCTTCTAAAACTCCATCTGTGCACACCCCATGATGGGGCGCAGGTCTGGTCTGGCACAGGGTGGGGAGAGGGGTGTGAGGTTGGAGTCAATGCCATGGCAAGTGGTTGGCTGGTCAGAACAACTGTCAGCAGGGAAGGGCGTGTGCTCAGATAGCAGCGCCCTTTGAAGTATAAAATTAGCGTGTGGTGCCCTCCCGACGACACCCAAGTAAAGCTGTTGCCAAATAAATGGGTGGGGACCGCATCAAAGACACGGCTCCAGTGAAGCAGGACTTTGGCTGGAGATGCAGCCAGAGAGGATGCTGAGCGTTGGTGCTCTGCTCATCAAAGGCCCCGCTTGCTCCCTGCAGAGTCCAGGCTAGTGTGCTGGGAGCCTGGCCGCCCATCATGCCCGCCAGCGCAGCCCTGGAGGGCATGGTGACGGAGAACACCGTTCTGCCTGGGCCATCTGTGGAATGGCCAAACAAGACGTCTTCTCAGTGACAGCCTGCCCACCCAACACTGCATGAGCCTGGTGTTGGCTGAAGGTGGGGAGAAGGGCGGGGGGACAGAGAGAGAGTCACAGAGACAGAGAGACAGGGAGAGAGTGCGAGATTGACTGTCCATGGGTGCATGTGTGTGGGCACACAGAAGGGACCCCCAGCCTTGTGGGACACCGAGCTCTGTTTTTAACACGTTAGGTCCACTTCTGGGTCCAGGTCCACCCAACTGAGCATGGGGGTTGCTCAGCTTTCATCTCAGAGGAGCTGCTGAATGAGGAGGCCCACAAAGCAGGCACCTGGGGAGGGCAGCTCTCAGGACGGGTCTGCTACACCACCCCTCCTCCGGCTCTTCTTCAAGGATGTCTGCAAAGGCCAGAGGTCCCTGGTGATGAACGCCATGTGGACGTCACAGACCCAGTCTCTTCTTGCACCAAAGCAACGTCACTGTCAACTGTGCTCACCTCACCGAAAACCACAGCTAAGACCCACTTCTGAGGCTTAAACTAAAGGAGGAAAGGCCTGGGCACGGCCAAGAGGTAGTGTCTGCTCCTCCCACAAACCAGGATAAATGCAAGAAAACATGGCTGAATACGACAATTCTCTGTGCACACACCTTGCAGCATCTCCCCAGCCACATGTCTGCTTTCAAATTAAAACCAAACTCAATTAAGAAAACAATTCCACTTGTAATAGCATCTAACAGAACATTTAGAGATACATTTAATCAAGGAGGTGCAAGATAGACACAAAAGTATAACATTTTGCTGAGAGGAATGGAAAGAGATGCCAATAAGTGGAAAGATACTGGGTTCATAGATTAAAATATTGTTGCTCTATCAGCACTACCCAAGTGGCCTAGTGGTAAGGGGCTGTGTTGCCAACCCAAAGGCAGAGCGTTCGAATGCACCAGCCGCTTCGTAAGATCTTGAAAGATGAGTAATGTCACTAGGGAGATTTACAGCCTCTGAAAATCTACCAGCAGATCAGCTGAGTCAGTTCCAACTCGATGGCACATAACAACAACCCAAAGTGATGCAGATTCAATGTGCTCATGATCAAAACGCCAATCTTTTCTGAAGACCAGAAATATAAAAGTTAAACCTTAAGTTTACTTGGAATTCTCAAACCAAAAGTAAACAACTCACTGTCATTCAGTTGATTCCAAGTCAAAACAGCTCTGCAGAATGGAGCAGAGCTACATCCCTGAGCGTTCCCAGGCTGTAAATCCTCAATCAGGCAGCCGCATCTTGCTCTTAAGGAGTGGCTGGTGTGTTCGAAACCACCTCAACACTTTAACTACTCTATCACCATAGAGACTTCATGAACTTGACCGGGGTCCCAAATAAATCGCCAAGACAATTTTGAAAAAGAATAACAGAGAACTCACACTTTGATTTCAAAACTTGCTACAAAGCTACACACAGGAGCTTTTATTACAAAGTAATCACCAGTCTAGTTCTCACAAAAGAGGTAGATACGGATCAAACAGAAGTGACATTTAGAAATAAAGTTGGCCCATCAGTGGTCAGCGGATTTTCAACAAGGGTGCCAAGTACATCCAATAAGGACTGAAGAGTCCTCAAGAAACGGAATTTGGACAGTGGCATTTCTACTTGCAGAAGAATGAAGTTGGAGGCCTCTTCCACATCACAGATGAAAATCAACTCAAAAGAGACCTAAATATTAGAGTTGAAATCATAAAAATCGTAGATGTGAACACAGTGGTAAACCTTTAAGGCCTTATTTGAACCCTTTTAGGGTTCTTAGCTATGATACTAAAGCAGGATGAATAAAAGGAAAAATAAACTGGCACATAGTAAAAAAAAATATATTTCTGTTCAGTATTTCTGTGCACATTTTTACACTCAATTCATACAAATGTTGGCATTACGGTGTTAAATTGTCATATAGCTTTATTTGCCTTAAAAATAGCCCTTTTATGCTTTAAAGGACACCTCACATAGTAGTAATGTTTTCAAATCATAAACCTTATTTGGAAGCAGGAGTGGCATCCTAAACAACACGCCTCTGGAAACTCTATGAACTTTGATAAATGTCGATGGTTGTAGAGGGGCTTTAGGCCTTTTGTTCATAGGGTCGCTGTGAGTTGTGCTCAACTCAATGGCAGTCAACAACAACACGCCTGATAAAGGATTTTCCTCTAAAATGTATAATAAACCTCTTATCTCTTATAACTCAATCTTAAATTGCTCATTTAAAACGTGGCCAAAGGACTTGAATAGACTTTGTCCAAAGTAGATACAGAATGGCCAGTTGTTGTTCCGTCCATTTGGAACTAACCTGTAACAGACCCTCTGGTGAGTTTTCAGAGGCAGTTTATTGTAGGGGAGGAGACTCCCTCTGTCTCCTGAGGAGCAGCTGGTGGATTCGAACCTCATGCTTTGGGGGTTACTGCACAGCTTCTTGCCACTAAAAGCTCTCTCAGTGGCCAGTAAGCACATTAAAAATTCTCAATGTTTACTGCTGAGGTGTCAGCAGCGACTCCTAGTGACTCCCCACTGGGCTTCGGAGGCTGTAACTGCACAGGCCCAGACGGCCCCTATTTCTTCCCCATCAGCTTGCTGGTGACTCCAAACTGCCAGAGAGAGGCTGCCTTCGGGTTAGTGCAGCTGAACCACGATGAACCACCACTTCAGGTCTACTTGGATGACTTCTCCAAACAAAATAAAACACCAAAAAAATAACAAATGTGGGCGAGGATGCTGAGAAACTGGAATTCTCATTGTGTAAAATGAGCTCTGTGGAAAAGACGTTGGTGGTTCTCTAAAAAGATAAGCACACAATTACTGTCTGACCCAACAATTTCACACCAAAGAACTGAAAGCAGGAAGTCAAGCAGGTACTTGTACACAAATTTTCACTCCGGCACTTTTCATGAGAGCCAAAAGGTGGAACCCTACGTGTCCAACAACAGAAAAACAGGTAAACAAAATGCAGCCTGCACACACAACAGGGAAGAGGCAGAAGGAAGTTCTGATACACACTAGGAGTGGAACACGTCTGGCACAAAAGGACCAAATACTCTATGATCCCACATCTATAAAATATTTGGGCTAAGAAATTACTTGGAGACAGGAAGTAGATGCAAAGCTATCCAGAGTTAAGGCACAAGGGGGTGGGGAGTTACTGCCCAAGGGGTAAAGTTTCTGTGTGTGCGGTGATAAAAAAGTTTTAGAAACAATAGTTATCAGGAATGGGAAGGGAGAGTGGAAAGAAGTGAAACTGAATGAATAGAAAAACTGGGTAAAGGAAAAGGCTATCTATATACTAGAAAGGACTGCATGTGTATGTATATATAAGTATATATTGTGTATATATGTATGTATGTATGTGTAAACACACACACATACAAGTATATACACAAGGTGCTGCAAGCAACAACTGATCAATTGTAGCCAATGTTATGAAACAAGAAGTGCTGAATGAAAACACACTGATTGGTAAACATTTACTAAAACATCCCCACCATAAAGGGGAACTAAATATTTTTGAAAACAATCATTGGTGATGTCTGCACCACAGCACGAACATAAATGCCACTAAACTGTACATGTAAAAATTGGGCAAAATGGCCAATTTTATGTGGATACATTTTTGTCACAATGGGTATTTAAAAAAAAAGAAAGAAAACTCAAACTCATTGCTATCAAATCAGACCTGACTCACAGCGGAGCCCTCAGCGGGCTTTCAGACTGTAATTTGGACGGAAGGAGATTGCTCACATTTCTCCAGTGGAGCAGCTGGTGGATTTGAACCACCTGCCTTTGAGTTGGCAACGCAATTCCTTACTGACTTGGCCACCAGAGCTCCCTTTAAAAAAAAAAAATAAGACACTCTGGAAAGTTAACCATGACATCCTTACAATTATTCCATGGTCACATTGGTCCAGTCAGAATATTAATCAAACTCCAATAAAAAATAAATTTAAAGAAAAAAACCCCATAAAAACCCACAACTTTAAAAAACCACAACAAACCCCTAGGCCACCAGAGCTCATTAGCAACAAACATACTAGGAAACATTTTTCACAAAATACTATAGTTTTGAAAACTGTATTAGAAAATTTACAATATAATATTTTCTATATTAGAAAATACCAAAAAATGCCATTTACCACCCAGTGTCTTGCACACCCTGTGATAATCAAGCAGCCCTGAAGGAGGAGGGACTTTCTCCAGGGGTGCGGGGACAGCTCGGGTGCAGGGAGGTGGGCTGGGAGGGATCTCTGTGGTCACTGATGGATTGGAAGGCAAGGGATCCCTGGAGTGGGAATGTGGGGGAGAAGCGGGGAGAACAGAGTAGGTGAGCCCCCCATCTGATTCTGCACTGTCCCTCCAGGGGCCACTCACCTGCCCGCCGGGGACAGATGCTCCAGTGTCCGCAGGAGGCCACCTGCCTTCCGGAGGCTCTCCAGGTGCTTCTCATTGGAGGTGACCTGCAAGGGAGGGAGGAGATGTAGGTGAGCAGGCCCACCTCTACTCATGCCCCCTTGGCGGCCGCTGTGAGTCTCAGGCCCACATGTGCTGCTTCTGAGTCCAGCAGGCCCACCTCTACTCATGGCCCCTTGGCGGCTGCCCCGAGTCTCAGGCCCACGTGTGCTGCTTCTGAGGCCATCAGACCCACCTCTACTCATGGCCCCTTAGTGGCCGCCGTGAGTCTCAGGTGTACGTATGCTGCTTCTGTAACACAGGGAGTGTGCCCTGAGCTGGTCAGCCACTCGTGTGCCCACTCCCAGGCCACTTCAGACCCTGGAGGTAGATGGTGGTGACATTTGGAGATGTTTACTCTTTGGGGCTAGAGCTGTGGAGGTCTCAGGGAGGTACTTCTGCCAGGCCTTTCTCGAGTGGCTTTATTTTGGGACCCCAGACTTTCTAGTCAAACCAAAACAGCCCTGTCAGCTGGGACCCCTGTGGAGGCCTCAGCCCCAGTCAATCTCTTTCACGTGGTCAAAAGTACTGAGGTCTCGGAGTCAGGAGGAAGGGGCTCTGACAGCCCAACCAGGCTACACCCTTCTCTCGATACCCCAGGAATCTGCCCGGGCTAATTGCTACTGTCCTGGGAGAAACCAGGATAAACGCCTGGGCAGCGCCGACTTTCAGGCACCGAAATGGAGAAACACAGACTCTCAGGGCTGGAAAGGGTGTTGACTCAGCCTAGGCATTTCAAGCCAAAAGGCGTGCAGAGAGCCTGCGACTCAGCCCCTCATCGAACAAGTCCAGGTGCTGCAGGAGGCGAGGAGGTGGACGGGCGGGTCTTTGACTCCAGATTTAAACTGGGGCCCTTGCAGAGCGTGCTTAGCTGCTGGTTAAAAGGGTGGCTGTTCAAACCCACCAGTGGCTCCCCTGGAGAACAGCCTGGCAAGCTGATCCCTTAAAGGCTGACAAGGTGTCCAAGGAGGGGAGGGAAGACGGGTGC